AACAGAGTTTGTACAAAAAAGGCGGGGAAAGGGGGGGGGGGGGGGGGGGGGAGAAGAATGAGAGGAAGAACTTAATTAACACCTCACACCCATTAGAAAAACCCAGCATTGCCATCAGAGAAAAGGTGAAGCTCTGCCTTTCTGAAGAATTAGAACATTACTACATTACACCTTTCTGTAAGCACATACATCTTATGTGTAACACAATGTGCAATATGATACATCAAAAGGTTTAATGAACCATGTGAAGAAATGGAATAACGAGAAAAACCACACCAATGGCCACAGTCACATATTACCAGGGCATACAATATACACAAATTCAAATATATCCTCCTTTAACATTTAAAACCAAATGATACTTAAAAGTTCTACTAAGGGAAACTTATATTTACAGAGCTGTGATGGCTACAATATCCCTGTACCATTTGCAATTATGTTTTAACATGCATAACAGCAACAGCACTGAAATGACAGCTCTGACAGCGCTCCTTGTGTCACATCATATGGAAGCTACTGAAAAATATTTCTATAATAAAACATATCCACAAACTTAAAATGTGAACTTCTGCAACTAATGCAGTTTGCATTAAAGTAAGGCCATCTAACACATTTTTTTTAATGCTTAAATGAGCAATTCTGTTTTCTCCATATTTATGCCCCTAAGACCCCTAAAAGATGCCTCAGGGAATCAGGCACTTGGATAGTGGTTTGGTTTACCCTGGATCCTATTTCAACAGATTTAAGTGCATCTGTGAGGTGGCACATTTGAGTTTGGGGCATTCCATGTTGGGTGGGTGGCTGGAGGGCGGCAAGGTGGGAAGAGAGAAAAACCTTAAGGCTAAACTTCTGCATATTATTCACTAAATTCTGGGGAAAAAATACGGAGTGTCTCTGATAGCAAATGTCTGACACATTCCATGAATCTTTAGAAAAAGGTACTTATAGGTAAAAAGATGCAAAGAAAATATGGATAAATGTAGCATAAGAACAAGGTAAAATGAATAGTTACTACTTAAAAGTACATGTCTATTTTAAAGCTAGTTTTCAAAGGGATAGAGCAATACATAATTATTTGTAAATTGGTGAATATAACTACTAGACTATCAGGGAAACCTGACCTGGACTCACAGGCAGCATTTGTAAGAAGGAAATGCAAAGATATTCCTGCTTTTAAGACTACAGACACTTGTCAGGTGGGCTTAGGAGATTTGAACTGGCAGCACACCATAGTATATAAATTACAATAGTTACAAACACAAGGTTATCCACAGTGGAATAAATAATTACTCACACATCCTGTTAAACAGACTATCAGTGCTCATTAAAAGACATGAGGATAATTATGACTAAATAAACAAAGGTCCTTAAAGTGAAGTTTGTGGCAAATATGCAATAATGTTAAGATTTATAAAACTGAAATATGACCCACCAATTTAAAAAAAAACCGAACAAAACCAAACCCTAACATTTAAAGCAGGATTGGTTGAAAAAGGAATACAGGGGTAAAGGAGACATTTCTGGAGCCTTGAAAGTAGTTCAGGTGTCACAGCTTCCAGCAGTAGCTTTCTGCAGGCAGAGGGAAGTGAAACAACAGGAGCAGTGAGTTTCACAGCTACTCTGCAGCGTGGTGTGGACAGCTGTGAAGCTGTCAAGAATCATATGGTTTGTGCTCCTGCTCCAGCAAAGCTGGGATGGCAGCTGAAGCAAGTGCTTGAGCAGTCGCCGTGAGGAGGGGGTTGGGGGGAACCCTTTGCTAAAGGTCTGCCAACACACAGATGCAAAAGTAAAAGACAGGAGCAGCAGAACATTCCCAGACAATAGCCAAGAGACTGTGGGGCTGAGATGGAGAGGAAGGATCATAAAATGGGGAAAAAAGGGCTTCATGCTTTCAACGGAGGGTAAGAAAAGGGGCTTCAAATGTATCAGGCACCCAGATACCAATAAACAACCAGCAGCAGCCTGGCATCTGGATGTTGGAGACTATCCACAGGAAAGCCATGGGCCTCTGCTTCCCAACATGTCATGCTGCTGATCTGCCACGCGGTACAAAGTGGCCAGTGCCATCATGTTTGCCTTTTAGGTTTAAGCACTCAGTAAATATTTTAACTTATGTCTGTATGGGCAGAAGGTAACGTTTTTTTATTCATATCATCTCAGGATCACAGAAGTACTTACAAATCTACTTTCCATATGTCAATATGCAATTAGAGGATCTAAATCTGTGATGCAAGAAGAACTCTCGTATCGAAGATAACGAAATTGAGATACTGGCAACTCTTAAGATCAAACCCTAGATCTGTTATCATAATTAGCACGTTTTCAGAACTGGCTAATTCAGAATGGAATAATGAGCAAGAGCTTTGTCATGTGTCTTTTTATGAGCTTCTAGGAAATAAAAGAAAGAGAAAGCTCACCAATACTCCATTTAGGACATACCTATGATGCTCCAAGCCAAAATATAAAGTCATCATCATTTTTAACTTCAACTTCCTAAGTTTTCCCAGAACAAATGCTACCTCTTCAGAGAAATTTTAAAATTCTCAACTGGTTTATTACCAGTAGGTGCTTATCTAACCCACCTCATCTCTAAGTATTTCTGTATGCACACAAATTTAAATATGAGGCATAAAAAAAAATAATGTTCAGAACAAATCAGAGAGGTTTAAACCAGAGTTTAGGGAACTGCAATAAGAAGCAACAAGGCTAATGTCTGAAGCTTATGTCTGTTCCTACCAAGCCAGACTTGGATCTAGACTTGGATCTTGTTAGAAAGATGCCCTTTCTAGCAAGAAACATGTCAACCTCAGCATTCCGGCACAGCCATTTTCTTCTACAAGTTTTTATTTCATTGAGTTGTCTGACCAGTGCCTCTTCCTTGCACAGAATTTACTCAACCCCCTGACAAGAACCTAAAGCTGCTACAATTCTCCCCAGCCCACATCCCAACAAAGGAAAATGAAATGCCCTCCAACCAGTTAATCCTGGAGGGAGAGGAACAGTCACTATTTCCTCTACTTGACTGATGACATAGAGTCATTAGAACTCACCCTAAAACACAGACTTTGCCGTTGAAAGGAGTTCATTTCAACACATGCAGTATTGGGCAACTAGTTGCACAATATTAAATTACAACCAGTGAAGAAGAAACTTCTGGCTCGCTTGTAAATATTCCATTAGAGAATTAAGGTAAAACTGACAGTCCCCAAAACTTTTTTTAACAGATTTGAGGCTGACCATCAGTATTACCAACATTTCCAGCACACCAAGTGCCAGAGTAGTTATACTCCCAAGAGTCAGCAGAACCCCTTCCTGGATCCTTTTGAGCTGGGAAATGGCACAGGGGTATCCTGTGTCAGCCAAGGCTCCTTGACAATAAGCAGATGTGCAGACTGACATAATTAAATGTTTTGTTTGTGCAGTGTCCCGTATCTCACAGATTGCACTTATGTCTGCACGAGTACCGTGCACTGCAGCTGGTGGAAGACTTCAGACTGGTCCACTTGAGTTAGTGTGACCCTCAACACTATCAGATGTGAACTTTCACTCTCATGCCAATTTTTTATACCTGAGTAAAAGGCTTGATGATCTGCAATGATATGGGCCACTGCTATCCACCTGCAACTCTTTGTATACAGGCTGGGGGAATAAATTTCCCTTCCTCATTTTCAAAGGAAAAACTTCCCTCTGTATCACCAGGATCCCTGTACAGCTGAATGCCAAGGAAGACAGCAAGTGGCTCAGGTTGAGTATGTCTGTGGGTAAGAGGCTTGAAGTTACACAACCTCTTTAGTACTAAATGGTGAAGGAAGTGAACTAAAGAAAATCCTGCAGCTGCCTGCTCTGCCGAGAGGTGTTAAAGGTCCTTCAACTTTCAGGAAAACATGTGCAGGGGAATCCAAGCATCCTATAGAGCTGAAGAGAAGCTGCCAAGAGCAGGAGAAAGGTGAACTAATTCAGCTCAAGAGATAATCTCCTCTTATGTTTTGTCAAATCCCTCCCAGCCTACTGTGGGACACCAATTGTCAAAGAAGTTTCACTGCACAGTCACCTTTTCAATCAGTCTCATTAAAAGCAGAGATGGTTGTTGCTGTTTAAACAGGAAAAGGCCATTGATTGTGATGAAAAGTGCAACACGGAGATAGCACAAACAGAAAGATGCAGAAGTTCTCAGTTGCAAGCTATATTTAAGTGTTTGACATACAAAGTGTTCTCCTTCCAAAAGGGAACTAAATCGCAGAACAACTTGAGATTTTGAAGTGGTTTGAGACTATCACACCGTTTTGAAATGAATATTTAACTTGTGTAGTACAATTCCTTT